TCACGCTAAAAGACTAATAAAAAGAAACACGAAACTTAAGAATAATAAGTTTTATAAAAAATAATTATACTTTTCTAAGAAAAAGTAGAAAAAAAACCAGCGATGCATACAGTTTTTTCAACAGACCTTCGACAAATAATATTCGATAGTTACATAATTCTTACCTAATTAAAGGTAATCTTTTAAAAATACCTACTATTATCTTACTCTTTGACTTTAAATTACGAAAGAAGGTCGCCGTAGGGGACAGTCTTAACGTAGCATCTCCACAAATGTTGGCTAAAATTTTTTGTTTGCCAGATATACGTTTTATCGGTGCACTTGCACAATATTCGCATTCGCAAAAGCTCCGCATTGATTATTGCGAATGTGAAAGCGAATGCGAATGTTAAAATTTATGCGGAAGTTCCGCGGTTGCGAATGCGAATGCGAATATTCGCAACAACCCTGGTATGTATGTACACGTGTTCAAAGATATTTGAATATATTGCAGAGGGCAATAAAATGATTATTTATGTACTGTACCAGTGATGCCAACTGGGAGAGAAATCCCCGATTTTGGTGGAATTTGAATTTATCGGGGGAATCGGGGAGTGGCTTTAGATTTCGGAGGAATTTAATATACAAAGGATTTGTATTAGAACATTGCTATTGAGAATAAAATTAAGACTTGTAATAACAATCTCCTATTAGTGATTTAAAACATAACGTAATTACTTCATCCAGATATTGGAGTAATTGCAATCGTGTTTAGCGACTCCTTTCACAGCCATTCAACGCTACTGGAAGACATAGAGGCCTCCTCTCTCCCACAGGGACTCAAACGGTGGTCGGCGAATTACTTGAGTGGTCGTCACTCGTCAGTAACTTTTAGAGACAAATCGAGCAAACTTAGGAAAATAAAACAGGCGGTTCCACAAGGTGGTGTCCTTTCCTTATTACTGTTTAACTTTTACATTTCAAAGCTCGCTCAACCACCAGATGAAGTCTCGATAGTGTCTTATGCTGACGATTGCTCGAGCATGGCGTCTGGGAATGGAATTGATGACGTGTGCTCGAAAATAAACGGTTATCTCGCCGAGATTTCTCGCCTCTTCCCTGCACGGAGCCTAACCCTCTCCTTTACAAAATCCTCAGCCGCATTTTTTACCACCTGGACGAAGGAGGTCAGACTACAAATGGGAAGTCACGTCGATGATACATCAATTCCGACGGTGAACAACCCGAAGATTCTCTTAGTAACATTCGATAGTCTGCTCTCCTTCTCGGCGCATACAACCGCAATTGTCAAAGTACAAAGCCGCAACAAGGTCCTCAAGTCTATAGCCGGCAGCACCTGGGGCAAATACAAAGAAACGTTGCTGGCAACCGACAAGGTAATTGGCCGGCTGGTTCTGAACTACGCAGCGCCCGTGTGGTGACCGGGGACTAGTAGGATGCAGTGGATGAAGCTGCAGACTTCGCAGAACACGGCACTCAGGACAGCGACGGGATGCCTTTTGATGTCGCCGCAACACTACCTGCACGAGGAGGCCCACATGCTCCCTGTTAAAGAGCATAACACAATGCTCTGCAAGCAGTTTCTGGTTGGGAGCCACAGGTGTGGTCACCCAAACAGACAACTCCTTGCAGAAGAGCCTTCGCCCAGGCACGTAAGGAGGCATCTCTACGAACTGGTGGACGAAGTCCAGAGGTTCATCAAACAACATCTGGACCCGATAGCTTATCGACAGACCTTGAACGGCATTCAAGGAGAGGCAGTCTCGAGTTATGTAGACTCACAATCTGTGAATGCCACCAGACGTGAACGAGACAGAACTTCGTCTGCCTCGGAAGACTCGGACAACAATAGCCCAACTGCGCTCTGATTACTGCAGCAGGTTGAACTCATACCTGAGCAGATTAAACGAAGGTGTTCTCAACGAGTTCTCGGATTGCGGAGAGTCGCCCCATGACCCACAGCATCTCTTCGTATGCCCTCTAAATCCTACCTCGCTAACGCCCCTGTCCCTATGGACAGACCCCATCGAGGCTGCACGCTTCCTGGGGCTACCGTTAGATGAGCTTGACACAACGATTGAGGGACTAACCGATCAGGGCGGGGTTGTTGTAGCCGCTACAACAACAACAACAAATCCTTTCACTTGATGTTTATATTTGACCCCTACTGCGATTGTTGACTAGTAATAGATAAACGACTATTTGCCGATTATCGAATATCCGCGGTATTATGAATGTCGTTTTCTCGTTTAATAGGTGATTGGGACTAGCTTTTAGTCGCTTATTGAACGAGAAATCGACATTCACAATATCATCGAAAATCGATAATCGAAAAAAGTCTACTAGTAGACACCCCCAATAGGGGGTATCGTTTTTTACTTCGATTTTAGCGCAAAGGTCTGGCAAAGTTTTGAACAGTCCAATAAAAATAAGTATTTGCCTATACATATATATTTTTCCAAAACATATTTAAACAAACTGCACTCATAAATAGCCTTGGCACAGATGCTTTGGAGGCAGTGTTACTTAGAAACAACTATTTAAAAATAATCCATCTATGCCCAATAAACATATGTACATTAGACTGCATCACTGCCAATACAAAAAAAAACGGTACTATGTGCCCATTGGAATTACAAAATCTATTATATTTTAAGACTTTTACCAAAATATTTCGGATAAGTATTAAGATTTACGTGAGCTGGACCGATTTGAAAATACCTCTAAAAATGGAGTTTTTTTTATGAATCAAAATAGTTTCTTAAAGATTTTTCTGAAAAAATCCCCTCATATGACAAAACTGTTTAAGCTTAAAAAATTTGCATAAAAATATTAAAAAATGTAAGAATAAATTTCAAGGGAATCGTAATAATGAGATTTTTGATGCTGTTTTTTAACTTTTTTCAAAGATTGGTATAAGAAAAACTGAATAACTAAACCTAAACTATTCTGATTTAGACATGTGAGGTATCATTGGAAAGGTATTTTCTCAACCTTTTTATTCCTTCGCTAAAACGATTCCGTTCAGATGATTTGTAAATATTTTTATGCAGATTTTTTAAGCTTAATCTGTTTTGTCATCTGAAGGGATTTTTTCCAAAAAGTTCTTCGAGAAGCTATTTTTATTCATAAAAAGCTCGAATTTTGGATGTATTTTCAAATCGGTCCAGCACGTAAATCTTAATATTTTTCCGAAATATTTCTTTTTACCTCCCTTTTATTAGCTCGGGATGTAACTATGTAATATTGATGCGCCTCAAAGATGTAGCGATTTCTATTGTCAAGTTACATACCTGATGACACTACGGATGGAAATTATAATAGCGAGATTTTAGTTTTTTAAACTATAATTTTATTTTGTGGCAACATCAAGGCGCACGCCACACTATATATGTTTTATTACCCAAATATGTATCCATGATCAAAGATATTTGAACAGGAGTAAGCTAGTTAGTAAAAAACTCGGTTCGCACCAACTTAAGAAGAAGTCACTTTAGCTCCATCAGAAAAAAACTTGCTTATCAGAGAAGATCGCGCGAGCGATATCTCCTCTTAAACTAAATTCTATAGAAGTTGGCACTGTGGTCCAAGGGCTATGAAATGACGAGCGAATCGAGGCAGCCTCTTTAAAACTCGATCAGTTTCCACAATGGATAATATGACTCCAGAAGTATGCTGGACGGAGCGCATGCACAATGTGCTATGCCATTGTATCATTTATTTGAAACTTTAGCAAAGTTTTAGTAATTTTGAATGAAAATTAATTATTCATAGGTAATTTCAAATCGGGTTAAAGCCAATGATATAAATAAGTTTCTGGAAGTCATCAATTTACGAAATCATATCATTAAATACTGCTTCTAACTTAAAAAATCTAAAATAGTCATAAATATTAAAAAATATACGTTTTTCGAATTATCTGATAATTACAATTATTTAAAAATTTAAGGGTGTTCTTAAAAAAACACCATTTAATTAAGTAGTAATCATTATTCAACAAGTCTTAGGTTGATGTCAGAAAGGAAGCGAGAAGCGGTGCTTTAAGATACATATGCAAAGCTTTAGAAGGTGTCAGAGTGAGTACGAGCACCAAAGCGACTTTCAGCGACTTCGAGAGGGCAAAGCGGCAAAGCAGGTTGTGCAATGGTTTACCACTTCCTGGTCTTTGTGTTTGATGTTTTCGGTGACAATTTTCAATGAAAGTTGTAATTTCGCGCACGTTCGTTAAAATTTTATTAACAGCGGATTAATAGAAAAAGGCAAGCAAGAGTTTTATTTCATTAATGTGAAATAGTAGATCTATTTAATTTAAGTTAAGTGATTTGTTTGATTATGTTTGTTTCATTAAGTATACAAACATTCTTAAGAAATGTTATTTTAAGTTATCACAAATTCTTTTTCCGCAAGCTGAATATTTCGAATTTTTTTGATTTTTTAAATAAATTAATTAATTTTTTACTTCAAAGTTTTATGAATTTCTCGCACGGTGTAATGGGACTTTTTATGTAATTAGTCCAAATCTTTTGAATTGACTCGATTTTATTGAGAATATAGTCAAATGTCGCTCCTGACATTGTTGTGTACTTATAAAATATGCCCGGCTATTGGCGCAGTTCCAAATATAAGTTGAATTCACTTTTTCGTTGATGGTTAATTAGATGTATTAAATTTTTTCTTTTTTTTTAAGTGCTAAATACACCCATCGAAATAAAAAAATAAACTTCTTGTCGGAATCCATTGTTCACATTAAACTGACAAAAACGAATGCAGCAGCTCGCTTCGCTTTGCCGCTTTCAGTCTGCTACCTTATAGCATTGCTTCTCGCTTGAACTATCATCACTTCAAGCTTCAAATCGCTTCTCGCTTCCTCTCTGACATCAACCTTACTCGTAGCTAAGTAAAAAGTGGTAACTTAAAAAAATGACCAATTCTATTTTAATTAGATCAAACCTTTCCGCATACTGAACTCAAACAACCAATAACTTACTATTTATTTTCAGGTACAAATACTTGGACTTTAAATCTGATATTCAACCCAAGGTTTCATGCCTGCTTCAAAACAATTTTTTTAACAACTACGAAACAATATGTCCGAATTTACTGTCGTTTAACAACGCGGTGGTTTGCGCTTATTTTCAAGAATATGACTGGCATATATATTTTGAACAGTATCTAATGGATTTAAAAAACGTTTTTTGTTCGGAAGCATTCCGTGACAATGAAACACATTATAACGCTATTTTCGCTGCTTATTTCAGCTGTTGGGAGTTTATTCTAAATAAACTAAACAATGCAGGCAGAGATCCAGAACACAAGCAAAAATATATATATAAAATGTTGCTTACAAATGTTATAGATTCCGTTGAATGTTTACTAATATCTAATAAAAATATAGCAATTAAACGATTTGCTTCGATGACTGTTAATATGATAACGAATTGGAAAACACAATGTGAGAGTGGAGACAATAGCTTGTTTTATTTAAATCTATTGAACGAGTTTTGGAGTTTGATATTCCATTTAATAAACGAGTTAATTCATATAAATGATCATTACCCAGATGGAATTATTGAATTGGTTCAAAGTCTCGTGCAAAGAAATGAAGAGCATGTAAGCGAAAAGCTTCCCACCTGCTTAACTTTACAACAACATAACTGTGTTACGGGAAGTGCAAACGAAGATCGGCTGAGAAAGATCGCTTTGGAGATGCTTCAACACTGTTTAAGAAAAATTAGAAAACAGCACAAGAAATGTTTAAAACATGTTAAGTTAATAATTGACATGTTTCCTGATATCGAATTTTATAAAAGTATTACAAGCGACTGCGATGTTAGTAAATCGATAAATATTTTTGTTCATTTAATATCTGTTGTGGATAAAGAGTTTGACACGGATGTTGCCGAAATTATCTTCAAGTTGTTACCTTTCCTTGATGCCGATGAACAGTTTATCTTCATAAAGACTCACATCTTTTCCGTAAGTTTGATATATAAGATTTGCTTAACACGTACTATTGTTTTTTCGAATTATAGATCCGTTCCAGAGAACTTCAAATTTTAATTCTAGAGAGTCTATTCTTTAACCGTTTAAAAATTGGAAAACGCAGAGAAATAATATTATGTGAGCCTGAGGTTAGATCCTTAATAATAAATTGCACCATAAATTACTTAGCAGAATACTCGGAAAGTACAAAAGATTGGACGCAAATGCTTTTTCTTCAAAATGATTATGATGAGTTCTTGATCGGTGCAGGTACAGTAGATGACGTGCTAAATATAATATTTGAGCCTCTTGAAAAAGAAGAAAGTGATGACCTTAGCGAGTTATGTGGAAATTTGCTTAGTCAAGTAATGCCTATAGTATTTACCAGAGGAAACGCATCAATTGAAACAAAATCCAAAATGTTTTTAAAACTATTCAATTTTTTAATTGAACACTCAGCGGAAAAATTTTCAACGGAAAGCATCCTTTATAAATTAACTTCTTGTTGGGAAAATGCATTATCTAATGAAATCATCGTGAATGAAGAGACAGTCACTAACTGTATAGAATCTGTTACAAATAAAGGGTTTGTAGCGAAACTCATGTTAAAAAATACATTAAAAGTTGCAGATTTAATAACTCGACTTATTATGGGCGTTGCTAAAGACAGTTCGGCTAATGAAGAATGCATTAAAAAACAAAATAAGCTAATCAATTTGTTTTTTAGCTCTAATGACAACTCTGAGCTACAAAGCCAATTTAGAGATTACTGCCTGTCTTTAGAAATTCTACATGGATATGTGTCTACACAAGAGAAGATATGCTATAACAATATGGATTGTCGTGACCTATACCTTATCTTACAGCGGTCACTTCTAAATGTATATATAGTTCAACAGTTCTACGAAAGGCTAGATGTAATGAAGGACAAGTTTTCTTGCAATCAACTAAGGGCATTGGATATTAATTTGCGCCAAGAGTTAATGAATTGCATTGTTTTGGCAAATGCTGGAGAAAGCATTCTTAAAATGAATCCAGAGGTGAGTCACATTGTATAAATGTATCATTCCGTGTCCACTGCACATTAGGTCAAATGATTACTTTCTCTATGCGAAATTAATAGCAGCTAAAATATTGCATTAGTTTAACGTAAAAGGACGGCAACCTATGAAAAAAAGTATAAGGTCAGTAAATAAAATGTAAAAACATGACTTGGCTTTCGTAAGACTTTTTTATGTTCAAAGTATGAGTATATAGGCTGGTTTCTCCAACTCAACTTATCTTAGTTTAGCCAATTTTTTAGACTTAGTCAAGGATAACTGTGTAAAAAGTAGGCTAACTTTTGACTTAAGTCAAAAAAATGGCTAAACTAAGTTACGTTGAGTTGGAGAAACCAGCCCTATGTTTTAGTAGTACTCAAAAATATTGTCCAACTAGCTTGGTTTTGACACAAGTTATTTTCTTACCATACTCATCCCCTACCCCTAAAAATTACCTACATAATAAAATAAGTATGGTTATATGTACATAAATGGTTTCTGCTAGCGATGAATTATAGCATTATCGAGATCAAAACAAACAAACAAACAAAAAAATTATTTACTACTACATGCTTGCACATATGACTTGAGGAGAGATTCCTAAGACAGTTAGTCTTCATAAAACATTTAATTTTTACTTAAGGTTTCAGTATTCCTAAATTCTGCACTTATATTATTTATATTCAGAATGCTAATGCTGCTTTGTGACATAATCACCAAAAACCGCTGTTAACTTCCTGAAAAGAATACGAATGTTTTTGAAACTAATTTGTGAAAATAATGTTCAAAGCTCTATTCACCATGAGCGAAAAATTTCGAAATAGCAATCCGTAGATTCTCTCAATGATTTGCCTTTTTGCGAAGGCTGCTCATCAATGGTCTGTGCGAATCGGCGCGAGTGTCTTTGTAACATAGCCGTGGCTACTTCCATTTTCACTTTATCACCATTAAAATGGACTATTTACCGCCACTTGCGGCCAGATTAAATACTAAAATTTAGGCTAAGCTATTTTTAGGGAAAGAGAGTACAGAACCGCAATTTTTGGAGATAGCCAAAAATTCGGATAAAATGTTAGCTTTCGCATTTTAGCATAGTTTAAAATTTTAGCGATAGCGAAAGTTAGAATGCGTCTGCTGGTCGACGCAGTTGGCTTTTTGATTTCGATAAGAACTTCATCAGCAAGAAACGCGATGTTTTCAGATCTAAATATTTTAGCATCCTTTCTAAATTGGTTTCCATAATTTTCGTCTTTCTTTTATAAATTTATTTATTTATTTATTTAAAAATATACGGGTGTAAATGTAAGACTTTAGTCTATTATAATACATCTTATAGGATGGAAGTTACAAAATTAAAAAAGAAACTTAATCCTAGTTCAATAATATGTATACTTAAAACTAACAGAAAATAAATAAGGGTAATAAAGCTTGATCTAACTACTCATAATTAAATTTAAGACTACGAGACAAGTATTTAAAAGAGTTAGGCGCATAAAGACAAAGATGAACTCAAAATAGGAAGAGAAAATAAGACAGTTTAATCGCAGCGACATTCAATTTGTTGAATGAAAATAGTTGTGGATTACCCTTCTGCAGTTACCCCTATTCAAAGAAGCCTTGACAGATTCTGGAATGGAATTCCTGAGCCTCGTAGCATTAATGAAGAACAGCCTTGATGAGGAGAAGTAGCATTAATGAAGAACAGCCTTGATGAGGACAAGTAGAAATATTTAGGAATAATCAGACTTTGATGCCTTCCATACGTTGTTAATTTTCATTTCCCATAAAGATAATTCGGAGTTTTATATTCTAAAAGTTTGTACATGAAAATATAATTTCTTTTCTCAAGATAATCAAAGTTGCTGCATCCCAGGATTTTAGTTTTCTACAAATAGATGTGGTCATATCTTTTATCTTTTTTTAAAATGTACTAAAATTAGCGCAATAAGTATGAAAAAAACGGATATTTTTACCAAAATATGCAAAATCATGCATTTACTGAAAAATATGCACTAACGATTGAATGCCTTTTTAAAGGAAATTTCATGATTCGTAAAGATAAATTAACCATTTCGATTTGAACATGCCCACTAAAAACATGCATTTGCATGAGATTGCGAGCAGTAAAAATGAGTTAAGCCCAATAAAACATTTCTAAAAATGTCACTCTGTAACTAGCGAAAAGAAATCTGTACAAATTTACCAATCGCGTCATTTGGACTTGCTTCAAATTGCTTCTGTTATTTGTTAGCTTGCGGGAGGATCCGGGTTCGAATGCCATTAGGCGGAACATATACTATATATTTTTTTCAGTTTTTCTATCAGCATCTATGAAGTGCAGACCGAAATCGTATTCTAACGAAAAAAATCTACAAAAATAAATCTGCTTAAAATAAAAGAAAGGTCGTTTGCCGCAAAATCATGTGTGTTTAAGCGTGAAACAAGGAGTAAGTATATGGCTTATTATTTTTCTCAGCGAAAATTAAAACTACTGAATCTTGAACCGATCACAAAACCAATTTTAAACAGTAATAAAAACCCGACAAAGGAAATACGAGATACTGAATTACTACTTGATTTTGCTTATTTAATAGGATGCAGGGGCTATTTTTGCTAAGGATGCAGTGATAATTTTTGTCTGAACAATACTATAATATGATGTCAATAGCGAAATTGCAAAGACTGCACCGAATTTATTTTAAAATTTTGATTATATTTACAGAGGGACACCTTTCTCAAGATGTGGGTTCAAGAACTTAGCGCTCAAATTAGTTCTCTGATGTATAAAAAGTCTAATCTGGCGGAAATGTTACAGGAAATGCTTCTCCAAAATACAACAAAGCCACATTACATATCGTATTGCCGCTCGCTATCCTTTTTCGTTTTTAGTCACCAATACCTGGAGTTTGGAGAAAACGCAGCAATTATTCTTACAGAGGAATTGTTCGCCTACTTTTTGAGTAGAGATGTTCTAACACCTTACATAAATTTCTTGCAGGTATGTAAATATTTTTTCATCTACAGTACTTTTAACGAGGGAGTATTTGTTCACTGCTGCCATACCTTTTTGGGCCGACCGGCTAAATTGGCCAAAAACGGCGGCTAAAATGTTTCAACTAAAATTCACATGTTTTGTTTAAATAAATCACAAGTTTAATAAAGGAAACTGTCGTTATACGTAGCTAAGCTTTGCATCAGAAGTCATGTTTGTATTACTTATGTAAGTACAAAAAAAAAAGACAAATTACAAACTTATGACGTTTTATATTGAAAAATCTTACCTTCTTGTATTGTAACATTTGCACTAGATTACCTTTGTCCTTCAAAATGGCTATATTATTAGAAAGTATTATACTTTTGCTTAGTTGGAGGGCAATATTTTAAGAAATGAACCCGTAAAGCTGTTAAAGGGCTGAGGCACCATTATTTCGAGAAAATACACCGCCATTCATTTACATATATCGAAAAAGCAGGTAGCTTTTTATGCTTAACGATTAAACTATTAAATTTAATTTTTAGGTCCATATATTCGAAACGTTCACGTTTTTCAATGACCGCTTTGCACATGCCTGATATAATTGTTCACAGATATATCGTATTCCCAGAGAAATTTGAAATTTTTAAGATGATTTAATGTTTTTTTCGTAAATACATAGCTGATTACTTAACAAACACCATATGAATCCAAACTTCAAACTTTGTGCGAAAATTATGAAAATTCTTCAAAATTTCACCAAAATTTTTACCTTTTTAATTTGCATCTTTAGAAAACTTATGGTACGCAGTTTTATAGCCTATTAAATTTTAATATAATACGATGCAAATTTTAAGTAGCTACGACCTACTGTTAATTATCGGATTTTTTTTGTATGACGGTGTTACGCATTTTTTCCATACAAAGTACGTTCTACCAATTTCTTTATATGGGGAAAAATGTGGAACACCGTCAACAAAACAATTGTCAAAAGTCAACTCTATTATACTAAAATTTTAAATTTTTAAATATGCTGATTAAAAAGTTAAAAATGTTTGTGTAAATTTGCATAATTATCATAATTTTTCCACAAAGTATGAAATTTGTTTTTAAATGGTTTCTTTTAAGTAATCAGCTACATTTTCATTACAAAACCCATTAAATATAATAAAGGAAAATATCCAAAACTTGCTAAAATGTCGTGTCCCAGTCTATATGTATATGGGTCACACTATATTCGCTTAAAACGAAAATCATTGAAATCGGCCCAGTATTTTAGGACTTTCCGGATTAGAAAAAATTTTCTCAATTTTATATAACAGTCCGACATTAAAATTTTCACTGTGATAAGGCTAGCCATTTCTAATAGATTTTGGATCGCTAAATTTGTAAAAAAAGGAAACTTATATGTATATTGTAATATTAAGAAATTTAGGCCTATAGTAAAATTGGCTGAAAACGGCTAATTTTTTTGCGTAATGGCTAACAAATCGGCTGCTGGCTAAAGCAAATTTTCTCTAGCTGTTTGCTATCGCTACCGGCTAAATCTAGCCGGAAAACGGCTAAACTGGCAACACTGCATTTGTTTCGTGAAACAATTTGAATAATAACACGGTGCTAGAAAAAAGTCATGAAATGCGATCGAAACAAAATCTAGTGTATATAGCTATGGTCGAGGACAACATGATAATAGGTTCGGTATAGTACCTGAACCCTCCATTTTTTATTATTTAAAAACAACCGCTATGTTCGTACTTGGTGCACTTATCTACTAACAGCTTGACTATTTTTCATCCGATTTTAAAAACCTTTTGAAAAGAGTATTCAGAGACCTTTAAGACCGTATTTTTGCTTAAATTTGAAAATTTGTGTGCAATTGCATTAGGTGAGGTACCAGTTTATTCAAAAATAAGTGCTCTTTTAGGTAACTACTACATGTTTGGCAAATTTCATACAAATTTTTTAAATCAGCGATAGTCAAATTAGAAAAAATGAAGAAAAATTAGGGGCTCATTAAAATTTAACCGATGTGATAAATGTTCTTGATGCGAAATTCAACGCTATTTTTGTGCAGATAGAATTATTAAAAACTCAAATAAATTCAACCACACAAAGTATCGCCATTGGCAACAATGCCATCAAAAGTGCTGTTGTGAGTTCTAACTTTGTTGCGTCGCCAATGACAGCAATTGTGAGAGTATAAGCACCCTGCAGGAAGTGACGTTAGCTTATACCTAACTTTAGTCTGTTTACGCGAACACTAGTGCTAACTATTAACTGTGTATTTTGTTCGAAAAAAGCTAACTACTTTTGTGGGGCGATGGCCGCAAAAAAGTCAGACCTGGATACCTCTGCATTACATGTCAACTAACTTGTAACTAACTACTTTTGGACATAAAATATCAATAAGAAAAACAAAATATTTTTTTGTTTTTTACTTTTTTATTTACTTATTTATTTACTTTATTTTATTACATTTCATATTTGTTTACATATTCTGCTCTGGGTGGCCCCATATTCGAACACCGTCAGACATAACTTCAAAATGATAGTATAAAATTTCGATCTTCCTTTTATTTGTCCTGAATATGAAAAAGAATCTGCGAAGTTCAGAAAAAAGTGTATTGAAAGTAATTTTTGCATGAGGATATTTAATAGAAACTTGTAAAGAAAACCAACTCCCGATTGCGTCTGCATGACTCCTGCACGACTTTACAATTCACTTTAAGTTGGTTTTGTCATAGCTAATTAAAAGTGAGGTATTAATCGAAATCTCGCCAAAAAGCTAACTATTATTATTATTATGAGCCTTGAGCACTGCGACCTCTAAGGTGGTCTATTGTGCGTGGCCTTTTACCCTATATATGAAGGCTTTTAATATAAGCTAGCACTTCGGTGGGCTTTTTGTTCCATATTTCGAATTTATTAAGTGTTGTACCGCCTAGGTGAGCGAGTCTGCGTCTAGCGAGAGCAACACATTCACAAAGGATGTGTTCTGGCGTTTCTTCGTCCATCTCACAGAAGCGACAGACGCTCGTGTCTGAAAGATTCATTTTACTGAGGTGATAACGCAGGGAACAATGTCCCGTGTAGTACCCAGTGAGAGTTCGAAGGTCCTCCCTGCCTAGATTTATGAGCTTTTTTGAAGCTTCTTGTGATGGACAGATGAACCGCTTAGCTTGTCTTTGCCCCGGACATTCATTCCAGTGCCTTTCGAATTTTTTGTCGACCCACTTGTTTATGACCTCCCTTAAGTGGGCTTTGGTGAGCCCGCAGAAGGGTTCCGGGCCATAGAATAGTGTGGTAGCTCCGTGTTTTGCTAGGCGGTCCGCCTGTTCATTGCCGTCATGGCCCTCGTGCCCCGGCACCCAGCCCAGTAATACTGTGTTCTTGCTTCCAAGACCGTTTAGGGTGTTGAGGCAGTCGTACACTAGTTTGGATGTTATTATGTGGGACCTCAGTGCTAGCAAGGCAGCCTGACTGTCCGACATAATGCAGATGTTTTTAGAGGATGTGCCTCTTCTGAAGCATTCTCTGCCACAGATATCGATCGCATGAATCTCTGCTTGAAAAATGGTGGGGTAGCTGCCCATTGGTATCGATCTTTTAAAATTCGGCCCCAATATACCAGCTCCAGTTTTTCCATCTTCAAGTTTTGATCCGTCAGTGTACCAAACTTCAGCTCCGGGTTTGGTGTAGGGGTTTCCTGTGCTCCAGGATGCTCGGTCCGCAATAGATACCTTGAAATTCCTAGAAATTACTAGTATCGGAGCTACTGAGTCCCTCATATGCATTATGGGGTCATTTGTGAATTTCATAAGGACCTTCATATGACCTGTCATGTTTCCGGTTTTTAACTCGGAAGTGTTTAGGATTCTCAGTGCCGAGAGACTGGCCTCCCTCTCTATTAGAATTGGGAAGGGCGGTATGCCTACAAGAGCACTAAGTGCATCAGCAGGACAGGTCCGCATAGCCCCTGTTATACCAATGCACACCATTCGGTGTAGTTTGCTTAGTTTTGCGCTAGCAGTTCTTTGTGTCGCTTTTGTCCACCATGCCAAGGATGCATAGGTGACTATCGGCTTCACAACTGTGTTGAATGACCAGTAAGTCATTTTGGGGGAGAGTCCCCATGTCTTCCCGTAAAGTCGCTTGCATGCGAAGAAGGCTCTCATTGCCTTGTTTACGGTTGCATCCAAATGTACATTCCAGGTGAGTGTCTTATCTAGCCACACCCCCAGGTATTTTGCTTCATTTGAGAGCCCTATTCTAGTGCCGCCCAGAGTCAATTCTGTCATGGATAACTTTTTCCTCCGGGTAAATGGAACCAGAATAGATTTAGTAGGATTAATGGATAATCCTTTGGTGTCACACCATCTTTGCGTAATGCGCAGGGCTTGTTGCATGCGGTTGGAGATCGTTTCGTCATACAGCCCTGTTACACAAATTACCAGATCGTCTGCATATCCTTGTGTTTCAAAGCCATGGTCGTTCAGTAGGAACAGGAGTTCGTCTATAACCATAGTCCACAGAAGAGGAGAGAGTACACCCCCTTGAGGGCAACCTCTTGTGGCTGTAATCGATTCTTTCGTGCCTCCCAGCTCCATCCTGATCTTCCTTGTTTTTAGCATAGAAAGCACCCAATTTATTATGATTGGGCTCACTCCCTTGCATATCAGGGCATCTCTTATTGCCCTGTATGACGTGTTGTCAAAAGCCCCTGAAATGTCAATGAAGGCACAAAGGGCTATGTTCTTAGACTCCAGAGCCTTTTCGATTTTCGATGTAAGGCTGTGAATGGCAGTCTCAGTGGACTTGCCTGGTTGATAGGCAAATTGGTTCTTATTCAGTGGTCGTTCCGCTAGGTTGACTTCTCTGATATGTTGATCCAAGATTTTCTCCATGCCTTTTAGGAGAAAGGAGCTGAGGCTAATTGGTCTGTAGGATGAAGGCATTTGCTCCGGTTTACCTGCCTTCGGTAAAAATACCACCTTAGCCTCAGTCCATCTACTGGGAATGTGACC